CCCTTGGGGAGCAAGACGAAGGCCTGCCTCGCACTTCTGCCATGGACCATCAGGCCTGCGCTTGTCTGTGCTGGGAGGACAGGGACCTGAGAGCTGTGCTCCCTCCCTGAGGCGCCTCAGCGGCCTGCTGGGGCCACAGACCCCTCCGTTGGCACCTGTGGTTTTAACCCAAGGGGCTGACTTCTCTGTGAATAGCGCTCTCTGGGCAGTAGTGCTGGCATGAGGTGAGGAAGCCAGACAAAAATGACTGTCCATGGTAGCCCTTCATGTTCTAGTATAAATGAGCACCTCCAATACTCTCCTGGGAGCTGATGCGAGTGGGGAAGGAAATTGGGGTCTTTGTGAACTTCAAGAGAAGTGGGTGATCCGGCGCCGCGGCTCACTAGGCTAATCCTCTGCCTTGTGGCGCCGGCACACCAGGTTCTAGTCCCGGTCAGGGCGTCGGATTCTGTCCCAGTTGCCCCTCTTCCAGGCCAGCTCTCTGCTGTGGCCAGGGAGTGCAGTGGAGGATGGCCCAAGTCCTTGGGCCCTGCACCCCATGGGAGACCAGGAGAAGCACCTGGCTCCTGCCATCAGATCAGCGCGGTGCACCAGCCACAGTGCGCCGGCCGCGGCGGCCATTGGAGGGTGAACCAACGGCAAAAGGAAGACCTTTCTCTCTGTCTCTCTCTCTCACTGTCCACTCTGCCTGTCAAAAAAATAAAAAGTAAAAAAGAGAGAGAGAGATAATTGGGGACAGGGAAAAGAGAAGAGGGGCGTAAGAGGCAGAAGCCAACAGTTTTAGCTGGGCCCGGAGGGAAGGCTGTGCCTGTGCTGGTGCTGGGTCTTGCGAGTGGGTGGCCTGGGCTGGTGGCCCGAGAGAAGTAGGCTGAGGCGCGGAGGCAGCAAGACCCAGTCTCCTGCAGGCTGGCATCCAGCTCGTCCCGCGTCACCCTTCCAATCGCCTATGTCCCCACTGCCTCCTGGGGGCCTGAAACAGCGCTCTCTAAACAGCAGCGCTGTAGTAGATATCGCGCGTAGAGAGCAAACAGGTTCAGAAAGGTACAGTCTCGTGCCTCAGGGGAACCCAGACAGCTCTGATCCGGAGCCTTCGTCTCCACCATGTGGTGCAGAACCTACCCCTGCAAAGATGGGGAGAACGTGGAGGTGGCTGGCTGGAGGTGCTGTTGAGTAGAGGGAAGGATGGATGATGGATGATGGGTGGATTGACGGCTAGGAGAGGGAGAATGAGTAGATGAGTAGATGGATGGATGATGGATGATGGATGGGTGGCAGATAGATGGATCAGTGGGTGGATGGATGGATGAGAGGTTGGATGATGGACAGGTGCTGGCTGGCTGGCTGGAAGGGGGAGAATGAGTGGACAGGTGGGTGGGTGGGTGAGTGAATCAGTGAGTAGATGCTGGAGAGACCACCGCAGAGCCTGCCTGCTACGTTTGCTGTTTCTGTCGGAATCCCCGGTACTGCTCTCCCTGAGGCTGTCTGTAGCTCTTGGGGGCGGAATCAGATGTCCACACACTGCGTCATGTTGGCTAATGAGCCTGCGCTGTGGCATCAGATAATGGGTGAGACAGGGAGTTTTGGTCCCCCTGTCTCTGGGTCTCGGAGTCCACATGCGACTCTCTCCTGGCCGGGGTGGTGGCATGGGGCCCTGCCCTGCAGTGACTGTCCCCTCTGCAGGGCAGAGGCCAGCATGTGGGCAGCCTGCTATGTGGCTGCTCTGGCCATGGTGGTGGCGCGTGGGGTCTGCCAAGACACGGTCAAAACAAACACGGTCCTCAGGGTCACCAAGGACGTGCTGAGCAACGGTGAGTCCAGGCCTGAAGGGGGTCGGGTGGCCTGGGGTGGGCGGGGCCATCAGTGCCCAGGGACCCTCCCCCTGCCGGCGGACCCCACACCAAACGGCCAGGCGGCTACTCCTCTCTGGGCCTCAGTTTCCCCATCTGGAAAGCGGGTGTAATTATGGTCCCTACCTGCAAGCACTAGAATGAAATGACAGGACCCCCTGGAGACCAGCACAGTGCCCGCTGCAGAGAAGGCCCTCCAGGGGGCGCTGCCACGGTTCCTGGCACCCCCGGACTTGCTCCCGCCCCAGTTCCCAGCCAAGGCCATCAGAAGCAGATGTGTGCGCAGGCCTCCCCGCAGCGGGACCAGGGCCCTGGCCTTGCCTCCTTCCCCGGGATCGGCTGAGACGACCCAGGCGGCTATGAAGGGCGCAGCCCCTGGAAGGGAGGAGGAGGAGGGAGGTGCAGGCCTTGGGCTGAGCGAGCAGGTTAGGCGAGCGCAGGGAGAGCCGAGCCAGCTCCAGGCTCACCGTGGGCTCAGAGGGTGCAGGTGGCGGCGGCGGAGGGGCTCAGCCACTGACGGCGCGTCTTTGCCCCCTGCCCCCCACAGCCATTTCGGGCGCCCTACAGCAGAGCGACGCCCTGCGCTCCGCCCTGCGCGAGGTGCCCGTGGGTAAAGCCGGTGCCGGCGCTGGCGGGCCTTTCCTGGGGGGCCTGCTCGGCGGAAGCGGAGGCGGAAGCAGTGGGGGCGGCGGGCTCCTGGGGGGTCTGCTTGGAGGTGGCGGTGGAGGGGGCGGGGGTGACC